CCCAAGCACAACCCAGCCCCAAGGAGATACCAGGGCCTAGGGCTCAGCACCCCTGCTCCTGGGAGAGGGGAGAGCACAGCGCCAGGGACAGAGGGGAGATGCAGATCCTGCTTTCTGAAGTCCCTCACTAGAGGCCACATCAGTCTCCAAAAGCAAGTGAAGGGAGGGAAATGAATCAGCAAGAGATGTTGCTGCATGCAGATGGCCATTTCACAGTAGTCTGCTCCAAGTCATCTTCTCTGTGCCCAAGCCACCAGCCTGCACAACCAGGTCAGCACCCAGCACCACCACCAACTCCCCACACCCCATCAGGACACATCACCTCTCCCTGCTTCAATTTTCACCTTCACAAACAGGGAGCTCCCAGCCCTTGTCTTTGAGAGACATAAATGCTCAAAGAATGCCCAGACAACAGAGCAACAGACCCATCAAGACACAGAGAAGCCTTTCTTCCACTCACCCCCGAGCACACCACAGACATGCGGTGCAGATTTCACACCTTTGCTCTAAGCAATGTTGCTCCCAGCAGGGACCCACCACGTGGCACACAAACCTCTCCAAGAAGCACAAGCACAGACCTGGCACAACCCTGCACGGCGCAGCTTGCTCAGCCCCACCACAGTCCCCAAAAGCAGCAGCCAAACAAGCTCCACAATGGAAAGAGCCAGAGATAACTAACCAGCAAACCCAAAGCTTCCTCCTTGCTAGAGATATTTATAGCAAAAACAAGGATCAGGGAGGAAAAAAAAGAAAAGCCCTTACCTCGCAGCAACCTCAGTCCCCAGAGACCTTGCAGCCACATTCTCCAGCGAGCACCATCATGCTCAGCACCTGCAGCCACTTTTCACAGCAGCATCACCCCACAGCCCTCCACCCTCTGCTACAGCATCTTACGCTGGGGGCCCCTTTTTTTTAACTCATAGGGGTGAAAGGCAGCTGCTTTGGGGTGGAACATGGCAAATATTGCATTGGAGAGACTCAGGATAGCTGGTTTTGGGAAAAAGCGGAGGCCTGGGAGGGGCAGAGGGGATGAAGGATAACTTTCTCAATGAGAGGCCTTAGGGAGTCTGAAGAGGAAGGATGCTGCAAATTCACGCTGTGAAAAAAAACGTGTCTTCCCAAACTCCCTAAGCCCACTCATTTGCAGGTTTTCCTTGGTCTGCAAGATGCAACCAGCAGCAACGCATCCCGGCCCCCACCGCCCCATGACCTTGCGCAGAGCATTGCCACCATGGGAGCAAACAGGCGCTGCTAGCCCAGATGCACCGAGCCAAATGCATCCGAGGGAGGTGACTGATGGCGTTTGCTGATGGGGGGTGGTGCCCAGGATGCAGGGACCAGCTCCAGGTCAGCTGGAGGCTGTTGTGACATCGCTGGTTGGACCAATGTGACACTGGAAAGTTTTTGGATGAGTTGGCCTGCAGCTCTGACATCCCCTTGCTCCATGACCTTTCTTCCCACAGGGAAATCACAGCCCCGAGTGGCTGAGTCAGCTGTAAATCCCCAGCATCGATCAGACACTAAATGCGGCGCTTGGTGGTTGCAGAAGGGGAACAAGACTGGACAG